TGGGTTCTCGAGTAGCGCTATTATCACGTTGGATTCCACAGCGAGTCGGTAGAAATTCCTTTGCCACACCTTTGATGTTCTTTGGATAAGACGGGAGAAGTATTCTAGAAAAGTGCACTCCACTCTTCCTCTCTCTCGTAAATGTATAATGTATTATGTTTGACACACGGCCCATTCAGGCTGACAGGAAAGAAACAAAGAAAAATTCTATCGCTTCTCCACAGTTTCCTTCCCCAGCCATTGATTCTGATGATCTGACTATTAAACCAAAATATTGTTTCTGCCAACCCATCTTGGCTGGTTAGAGATACCACACTTAACCGTTTACCACGTGTGCCAGAAAGTGTCGAAACAAAGAGAGAAAGAAAAGGCGAAGGAAAACCCCTCAGCAGCCAAGCCTGGGGTATAGTGCCAAAACCAAAGACCCATCATATTGGTTGCGTGAGCCATGTTGCATGGAGAACTGCAAGGCATAGGCCCGAGCTCGAGCTCATGTGCATTCTGTCTTTTTTTTCGGTGGGCTTTCCAAGTTCGTATTTGTCTCTGATGTCTCCACACTCCCCGGCTGCTAAATTGCGGATAAATTATAAAATTCCACCATGGCGTTTCTAGGTCATAGGCTATATTACATCGCGTGATAAGAGAAGCAACCCTACGCATACATATGTGAAAGGAAAACGGCGACATGGAGGATCTTCGTTCCGAAAAACTTAGGTCTGAGAGGTAATCAAAGGAGCTCGTGGATATAGGTTTACTCCTGCAGTAGTAGGCTGATCGACCCAGGGAATCTGTTGTTAAATTATCGATTTCCATGCAAGATTCAGATTTCATAATCCCCATCCGCGTTGACCATTTCTTTCCGGGTAACTGGAGGCTGCATATTCTATGGATAATCGGGGCCTGTCAATTTTTCGTTTATAATATTCACGTTATCGGGTTTGAGGTTGGGGAAATCCGGGTTAGACGTCCTCCTAGTACTACTCATATACATCGATGTCTTCGACGTGTCCCATCCCCACGTGACGGACGATGACCAGTGATTTTGACAGGAAGGGATACCCTCGCAAAGGTACTTAACCCCATATATTATATTTGGATATCACCCCTCCCTTTGTTGTGTCTGGGAATGGGACTAGATATTCCTTGACTCGTGTGTAGTGGAAATATGGAGCCATAGCTTGCTGGACATACGTATTAACGCATATTGGAAGGGATCAGGGCTGATCCCATCACAGATATTGCGGATAAGATGTATACGTAGTAGCTTGAGAGTGTTGGGCATACATAACTGGTATAGTTAGTGTGATAGATATACGTCGGTACCTTGTGCAATGCATAAGTGATGTATATTACATTCGTTCAAGGGTAGGTACATCTCAACTATTTATCAGTCACTCCAATGCAATGTGATTACGAGCTACCTTGCTTTGACATGTATGCAGGTCAAGACGGGATTTGCGATTCTCCGTAACACTAGCGCCGTTTGGTGTCATATATGCATATATATGCATTTTTTTATTTATTTTTGAGAGAGCGAGAGAGCCATGGGTCTTTCAATGAGAAACGGTTATAGTAACATTAACCTCGAGACAAGACCGCGGCATTGGTAATGCTCACTCTAGTCCAATTCATGTGGGTCCGTTTTACAATTTCGACTAGCTAGAATGTATGTAACGACATGCATTAATGCGAATTTGTGCAGTGCCACAGCTATGGGGTGGATAAAATGGAATATGATCTAAACGAGAATCCTAGAAAGTTCAATAGCTGGCGCACCTAACAATATACATAGTATGGGGAATCAAACAGGCATTTTTACGGGCTTAATTATATGTACTAAGTAAGCTTGAGAATCAAAAGAACTAAAAGTCACTGGAGAGCCAACCCTCGTTTCCTACAGCCAATACACAATACAAGGTCTTGAAACTATCATAGCTTATATATTATGATTACTCAGAAGCTCCCCAAACGATACCGGGGAACCCGCATGCTGAAGCCACAAGCTCAAACTCATAGTCATTGCGGCACTCAGGTAAACTGAATAACTCGCTTCCAGGGTCTTCGAGATCCTCCTCATCAGGAAGCTCATCATCCCCCAAGTGTCTGAAAAACGCTTGTAAGGCGTTTTCAACCTGGCCGAGTTGTAAGTAGTTTTCTGTATGGGGAGGCCATTCGTATGTAGATATTGCTTGGCGGCTAACGTTAAAGGCGTTCGGTAACATACGCTCTCTCAAAACTTCAGCTATATGGAAAAAGAGGTTTGAAAATCCTTGTCTTAGCGAGATGTTGTTCCGAAGCCTTCGGCGGAGGTCTTCAGGGACGAATCCTGTATAAAATTCATTGTCTCCGTGCCAGACTGGGCCGTTTTCGATATCTTCGCTCGTGAGATCATGCAGCATTTGGGCGTGGTAAAGGAGTTTAAATTCCATACGTGGGGATACAAAGCCATGAAGACACGAGCCGCACGTACACCCGAACCTCAGACGTCGGAATTGTATTTCGGAGGGGTTGTTCAGTCCCTGGAATGTTAGAAGGCACCTAATGGCATCTATGTGGTAGCCACTGAATTCTCGATCTTGATCTTGTCGTAACTCTGGCCTGAGTAAATCAAGCTTCCGCTCAAACTTTTCTTGCGGAGTATAACCCTCCACATTCGGGTGCGAAGAGAGAACCATGCCTACGTTTACGTTTTGTAACAACCAGTGTATACTTTTGACTTTGAGCAGTCCAGCTGCTATGTGTAAGACATTTTCAGAATACCGATCTGATTTATTCCAGTCATAGGACTTGTTGGTAACGTCGGCTTTAAATTTGGTGAAAAATTGGACGCACTCGTTGTCAGGAAGAGTCATAGCAGCATAGTTTGGAGGAAGATGTTCCTTCAGTAGCGCTAATAGCCAAGGGCGTTTTTGAGAGCTATCAAAAATCCCTGACCCGACGGGTATATCCTTAACACCAGGTGGCACAACGGGACCAGGCGACACTTCATTGAGATCGGGCTCTAGATATCGAAGATCGAAATCCGCTGCTGAGGGAGTGGCAGCTGCAGGGTGGTTTGGATCGGCTGCCAGGCCGAAGAGCTCTGAGGCGCCGATTCGACGGAAGCCCTGGTACCGCCAGAAAGCAATGATTTCCTCCCTCATACGGGTTTTAATCTCGTGCCGTTCTGATATTGTTTTCCCTTTAGTCACTCGCTCAACCTCGGAAGCGAGGCAATTGGGTCTGACGAGTGAAAATTCAGGATCTCGGCCGCTTTGGCGCGCTTTGTCGATGATGTCGCTTACGATTCCTTTCCCGACCCCTTTCCTACGCCAGGCGGGGCCGATGATAAGGCGTTCGATTAAGAGGAATTCACCACGATCTAATTCCTTACCCCAGGCTCCTGTTCCCTTGCGTATGGCATGGCTAATGAACTCTCGTTTAAGGTGGGCACGATGGTCAAATAATTCGAAAGCAAGATCACTGAGCTCTTGCGAGCCCTGGGACATATGGTGCCGGGACTGACTTCGGATTGAAACTATGTTCACATACCGGCCCAGGCCCCTTCCGATAAGTTCGCCTGTTTCGGAGTAAACATCCACATGAATTTTCTGCATCCAGCTTTCAGAATCCCCCCAATGATCATTTTGTGAATATGCCTTAACATGAAGTTAGAATTTTCGGGTCCAAACTTAATCACATTTTTCTCTAATTCAGATCTAGACTCAGATTCAGATTCAGAGCCTGAACCATTACTATCAAAACAATCCAGCATATCTCCTCACCTTCTTCGTCTTCAAAATCGTAATCTTCATTCTCATGGACGGTCGTGCCAGCTTCCTGTCCTTCATTTTTCAGTTGGCTTGCTTGTACCGAAGACGGGGGATGACCTGCTTTAATTAGAACTTTATGCCCTATATATATAACTTGAGATCATGCCTGGGAGTCTTTGAATCTTAATTAAATTGTCCGTCGCATTCCCTTGACGATTCTCATCTGAGTCCGGCATATATATCTAAGACGATTTTGCGTCGATGCTGTTTTCTGGTGCTCTTAATGTTAAAGTGAAGAGTAAACTAGGCCTAGAGCGGTCTCGTTCCTAGATGTCACAAAAGCTTAAAGAGGGCCTTTATTTGGGACTAGGGGTCTGAAGGGGTTATAATGTATAGGGTGTTGAAAGATGGATGCGAGCAGAAAGGTCTTAATACAACGACAGTTATCGCATCAGAACAATGCAATATAATGCAATGCAATGTTAAGCTGATTGTAGAAAGAAGTCAGAGTTTATGGGGGAAAGTTGCCTGCTTTTATACTATGAGACTACCTGTTTTCATGCCATTGGAATCCCGTGGAATTCAAAAGTTTAGGAACTCCTGAGAGTGTATAGATCCATCGATGTCGGCGTCTGGGTCCTAGGTTACGTGGATGCATGCCTCAATATTGCAATCCGTGCTTGCAAAGACAGCTCCATAATGCGAGGCGCTCCTCTTTGACACCTGGCAGCTGGTACTTGCTGTGCCTTCGCTGTGCATCACGCGAGGATCCAAGTTAGTCTTTTTTAGACGAGTCGACCTTAAGTTCTATAGACGAGTCGTCCTCTGATTTTGCGCTACCAACTGCACAAAAAATAGACGAGTCGTGGTTGACTCGTCTAATCGCGAAATACAACAGGGGGACGATTCTTGGCATTTAGGAAGACATCGAATTTTTCGGTCTACGGCGGCATAAGGGTTTAAATTTGGGCCTGGAACTAGCAGCCAGTGTTCTGTTCCGTAGAAAGGTCTTCCATTTGGAATATCTTGAGCTCATGAGATGACTCTTCGCTACACCGATGAGTCTCTTATCCATATCCCAATCCCACCCCTGCACAAGGGACGAAAAAAAGAAAAAGAAGAGGGGTTTCAATGCTCTATCGAAATCATCACCAAACCTTCCACTAGGCAGTTTCAAAAAGGAAACTCGTCGATAAAATGAACTAAACAAGCGGTAGCAGAAGAGCAAAAAAAGAGCAAAAAGATGAATTCCGACACCGGGAATCGAACCCGGGGCTGTTCGGGACTTAATGAATCAGATTCAATGAGAGCGAACGATGTTAACCACTACACCATATCGGAGGTCGGTTTTCATCATTTGATGTTGGAGATGCCCAGAATGTTCTATATATACCTTCTAGCTCCGGAACTGGAAGTAAATGGAACTTTGATTGGCCACCTTCTGCGTTCGCCTTTTGCTGTCGCACTGTAGAAGGGAACTCGCGACACATTGATTGAGCTACTAAATTGCTAAAGTATTGAATATCCGAGACTATACCATGGTTGTAGAAGTAATTTGGTATTGGTATCCCTCTCCTCGACGGTATTCCGGCATCCCTAGCCGACGCAGCATGTGCAGCTGTAGTGAGTTTTGAAGCCTTGAACATTTTAACTCTCGCGGCTCGAACATACAAGTTCAGTTTTCTTTGTTGTTCCCACAACGCAGCGGAACTGTCTCGCTCCGAGAATTGGTGTCGCATTGGCGGCCGCCAGAATCATACATCTTTGGCGTCCATTCAAAACCCAATGAATTCATATGAACTGAAGGCCATGACACCGCGTGAGGTGGTTTTACGTATGCTGCTCGCAACGGTTACCGCCTGTTGATCGAAGCCCATATGAATGGGGTAGTCCAGAAGCAGGTCAGGCTGGTGGCCCGCTGAATAGGGTAACTTTTCCTTCTTGGTTAGAAACCCGGGCTTGTCGGATGCGGGTGGCCCCTTGGCATATACGTTGCAAACGCATCGACAGACGAGTTTTGTGTTATACTTCCCTTTGTTACGCCAAGTGTGGTCTGAGGTGCAGCTGCGTAAGGTAATATCTACACCAGCAAAAGAAACGATCTTAGTGATATTATAATCCTAATTTCTTAGCACTATTATTCGATGTTATATAAAGATGATTTTTCCTGCCTTTCTCCAAAGATCTTTTTTTCCTTTCTCTATCGCAACATAGTATCGCATTCCTTGGATTGTCATTCTTTCCCCCTCATATCCTCTTCTTGAGTCCACTCTCTTTTTTGATATTATATCATTTCCACTCTTTTTAAACCTATAAATCATTCAAAATGCAGATTCTTTCTATCGCTGCTGCCCTTGCCGTTGTCGGGTATGTCGATATCTAGGTTTATACGAATATTAATAGAACCAATAAAACGTGATACTAACAACCTTAATAGCGGTGCCCTCGCCATCCCAGCCCCAGCCCCAGCCCCAACAGCTCCAGCTGTTTTGGAGGCCCGTGCTGTCTGCAAGACAGAATACTTGTCCACCACCGACCCAGGCATTTTCGGCTTCGCATCCGACCGTGGAGTTCGTACCAAGTATGCAACTACAACCGCCGTCATTGCTACCGCCAAGGGACTCGACTGCAAGGGCTGCTCCTTGCACATTAAGTGGGAGATGAGAGAGTTCAGATTGTTCGGTGCCCGTGGACCGGTACGTTTATCACTTGATATCAATTACCGTACCTAGAAAATGAACTGGAAAGCTAACAGAATGTGTGTATTAGATCATGGGTGAAGTCAAGGCTACCAAGACCATCGAGGCCAAGACCAAGACCATCACCCACTGGGTCTGCGAGACCAACCCAGGCCCAGTTCCTACCGGAAAGCCACCAGGAGGAAAGGGCGGCCGTCCACATAAGGACGGTGAAAGACCACCAAGAAAGGAGGGTGAGAAGAAGGAGGGTGAGAAGAAGGAGGGTGAGAAGAAGGAAGAGAAGAAGGAGGAGAAGAAGGAGGAGAAGAAGGAGGAGTAAACGGGCTCTTCACAAAACAACCGAATGAGCTAGAATAGCACCAAAAGAGACTGTGGAGAGGATACACGAAATGTGTAAACCAAAATCGCTTCACTAGATGATGATTAACGTTTACGAAAACACTGGTACGAACAACATTTACGACCAACCACGAAATTTATGACATGGGGAAATGGAGTTTATTCGGAGTCCTACCGAATGGCGTTCTTTTTTATATGATTTTCCTCCGGATTTTTTTTTTTTTTAACCTTCATGAACATATATGTACATGTATGCTTTGACGAAAACGAATTAACGAGATTGAATGGAATATATGATGAACTCATGAATATTGTGTATTTGGGCTAAAAGAAAATACAACGTTGTAACGATCGCGAATCTGTGTTGTAGTGAGGTAACCCAACCCGAACTGTATAGCGTATCCGAATTTGCGAAGCCGAAGGGAAACTGAACCCGTCGTATATTTATCGAGATAAACCTTGCCAATCGAGAATAAACTGGGGACTTCTTGTTTTCTCTTAGGTAGATATTATGAGTCAGAGCATTCAATTCAGCCTCTAGCTTAGCTACTGATTCTCTTTGAGGCCTTTAATTCGTAGTGTTCATATGAATACAGTACACCTAGACGAAGCTATAAAATTCACAAAATCAATATTGCTGGTGGAAACGTTCGGACATAGGAAAAGGTTTCAATAAGGCCTATAAAACTAAAACTAGCAAGTTCGCACGAGATAAGCAGTCGAACATCATGTCCCCTGATTCAGTTCAGTCTCCAGCCCGGGCTGTCTCCCCTTCAGACCAAATTTGCCCTTTATCTTCTGCGCCCCGACCATTAATTCATCCTTCAAAAATACCATATTCCTAGCAGGTCTCCACTGCATAATTCCCCTATGCTTCCTGAACTTCTGTCTCTTTTCAGCCATCCTCCTCTCTTTTCTAGCCCTCTTAGCATCCGGATCAACCCCCTTTTCATCACCGCTTCTACTTCCATTATCGTCACCATTATTATTATTACTGTTTTCTTCTTCGTCGCTTGAAAGATCATGTCGCTCATCTACGTCTTCTGAGTCATCCCCTGCCATTCTTCTAACATTCTCATCACAAACAAATTCATCTTGATCATCAACAACACCCATGACCTCTGCTTTCCAATCTTCTTCGTTCAAGATGATATTATCCCCGGTAGGTCTTTCCGTTTGCGAGGGTTCATGGCCGCGAAGCTTTGGTCTTGGTAATAATTTGTCCTTTCCCTCATTTTCTTCCAAAATCTCAGACTCTTCGTCGTCGCTAGGTGGTTCATTCGTTGCCCCCGTCGCGATAAGCTTTTTTATCGTTGCACCAGTCTCCCGTTTGACAATTCTCCTCCTCGAGCCTTCCGCTAAGCAAGCTTCAAATGCATCAAAAGTCTCGCGGTCATCGTTGCTGTCCATATAACTTCTATGAGACTCATCAAGACCATCTTTGAATCTCAGGGTAACGTTGAAAGTAGCGATTTGCTCCGCGTCGATGTTTTCACGAGAGTTAACGTCTTTGATATTATTCTGGGTCAATGCGTTTGTATCCTTTGTCTTCCAAACGGGTAAGGCCAATTTTGTGGCTTGGTTATCGATAATCTCGTTAAGCCAATAAACGCAATACGCCACTGGTTTTCGAGCCATACGAGGATAGAACTCTAACCTTAGAGAAGATCCGTAGCGCTGGCGGACCGGTACGCGGATTGTGAGGCCGTTTAAGTTCCAAGCTACGCCGTTATCATTATATGATAGGCGCCTCGGGACCTTTTGTTGGTTACAATCGGTGCTGAAGACAATACGGGAGTTTAGGAGCTGTTGCGCACCAGGACCGGTAGCGGTCATAAGGTCTTCCATGATTTCAATAGAGCCAACGTCCCAACCGAGGAGATTCCGGGGAATTTGGAGGTTGACAGAGCGGAAGAGGATGGTTAGTGAAACCATACCGTAACCAATCCCCCCATCAAGCGCATAAAGCCGGGTTACTGTGCTGCTTGTCTGTAGGGCCTCAGATAACTTGATAGAGCAAACACCTAAGAGAGGGTCGTGCTCTCTATGGCGTGAGTCTCTTGCTGCCACGGTAACAACAGTATTTCTCCAATCCCGAACATATCTTTCGACAGCGGCAGAGAACATTGGGTTCGACGAAGAGACCTTGGTTCGAGTTTTAAATGAAAGGACATCGTTGACCATTACAGTACAATATGCGTTAGGCAAGTGACTGCCTTCCTCATCTTTGTTTTCACCAACTACTTGGGCTGGGCTGTATGGTCTTATCTTACCGAATGTACCTTTGCTTCTTTCGAATTCAAGATGCTTGATCTCATGAATAGTGATTGAAACTACGCCTGTTGGATAATTTGGATCAGGTGGAACACTGAGGGCGAGTTTGTCGTCTTCCCCGACAGGAAGAGGAGTCTGTTCATGGAATTCCTGTTTGTGGCGGAGTTCGCGGGGCACCCTAACATCCTCACCAGTTGTTTTCATGGATTTTTTGAAATCAGTACGACGGAAGAATCCAACTTCCCAGTTTAGCTTCCCCGGTACCGCCTTCCCGTCCTTTTCTCCTATTAAGGTATCGCTTCGAGTGTGCATCACGCCTTCACTCTTGATGATATCGTGAAGATCAAACTCAATCCGTCCGACCATGTCGTCTTTCCCGACTCGGTCGCTGTCCCAGAGTTGAACAGATAGCTTCTCGCCCGATGTGATTTGTTGGGTGTGGAGGAGGATGCAAGTATCTTCCTCCCATGACGGGTTGCGGTCTTTCAGTATGACACGAGTGCAGTAGACCGGCTTTCCGAATTGGCTGAAGGCTAGAGTGACGTATGTATCCGAACCACCCCCACTATCCATAGCTGGGATGCCTGTAGCGTCGTGGATCTTGATATAGATGACGCCAATGGCTTCGGTTTCTTGTTGAACGCTAGTACCCTCTATCATTTTGCCGACATCCAAACTCAATGATTTGGGGGCCACATATTCATCGAGGGCCGCACCGACAGCATAATTGACAAAGTTGCTGATTAGCGGAAGGTTCAACACGTTTATCCCACGTTGTGTCATCGGGACAACCGAAACACTAATCTTTGGGAGCCCCATAAACGTCATGGACAGGTTCTTGATAAACGGTGGGTTCGGCGTCATCTGGAATCTCAAGCGAACAGTTCCAACTATACCTGATAATTCAGCAAAGATTGGAAGCGGCACACCAAAGAGACCACGGACACCAAGATAAAACGCGATTTCCAAATGTATGTTCTGAGCTTTGCTTGCGACGCCAGTCGCTTTGAGAGCATGGTAGGCGAAACT